TATTTTCAGGATTCACCATCGGGATATTGTCATTTACTCGACCGCTTCTCCACTGCTCGTACTCTTGAGATAACTCGAGATCATAAGTGAACAGATTCACACGACGAGTTTGCTTCCAAGCCTCAGCAACCCCTTTAACTTTAACCTTATACTGATCTCCTTTGAATGCAAAATCCGATCCTACCAAGTCCCACGTGGCTGGAATGAACTGCCTTGACCCATACTGTCTGGAAACTAGTAGCGATGCATACCCAACAGAACCCCATATACCTGGCAAAGGAACCCAATCTCGCTCTCCACATCGGTAAAGTATATCCGAAGAAGTATTCCACGAAGCTCGCCACAAAATATCTCCATCTCTGATATCCTTGAAGATGACCATCCATTTTTCTTCAGTAAAACCCACAGGCCACTCTTTGGAAAGAAAATCTTTCAAAGGCGAAAACCCCTCTAGAAACACTCGTCCTGGTGCTCTTTCAACATGTTTAAAATGATTCAGAATCCACACTAGCAGCAAAGGTGCACATCCTATAAAGCGTCATTCTCCCTCGCGCCTACAAGAACTCAAAGACCGGAACGTCTCAGCTAGAATAGCTGGAACAGGATCCACGCGCTTGTCTAATCTTTCGAACAGGTCAACAACTGATACGTCTACATATCCTAGCACTTTTGGAAAAATAACAAGCCCATAAATCCCTAAAGCAAACAAGTCAAGCCTCTTTCTCTTATCAGGATGATGAGCAATTACTTCTTTCATAGCAGCCCAAGAGATGCACTCACTGTCTCCCTTCTTCTTAATGTTTCTGACTACCCAATCTTCACTCATTCCAGTCATCAATAGTAATTTCTTCTTAAACGAAGGAGTGACTGGCAGCTTGGTATATATTCTATCCATTTGGGACCTCGGACAACGGACCAAAGCTTGATACTCCTCTATTGTTGGTGTCAGATCTACTCTACCAAATGTGAAACAGCTATAAGCCGGATTCCAGAACTGCGCCAATGCTCTAAACAGATTTCGGTCAATATGAACATCCAGAAGACAAGGAATATCGCCGTACAACTGATAAAACATCTCCTTATCGGCTGCTTCCCATCTTCCCCATATCTCTCTTAGCTCACTCAGATCATTCTGACGTACGTTGATGTGAGTGTAACCAAATAACTCTGACACATATCCAGGCATCACGCTGTCTCCATTGGTCAACTGGGACTGTTCCGACCACCTCAAAACATCTGCATTGTCCTCAACCTCTTTCCGAACCGTTCGTTCCATATTACTGGCCTTCTATATGGACATCGACCCTAAATCAACACCATGTAATGGACAATGCAATGCAACACAGAAAAGAAACAAGGCAAAAACAACAAAAGATCGGTTAGTAAACATAAAGCAATTAAGTCGGGATAATAATTTATTCAAGAATCCTACCCACATGCTGGCTACCCAATCATGCTTTATCAGATCCTACCCAACATGATATCTACCCCCATGCTTTGTTATCCATAAAAAGAAATCCTAACCGCATGATATCTAATTCTCATGTTTATTCAAAAATAAACCTAACCGCATGATATCTAGTTCGCATGCATTTATTCGAAAAAACGAAAATAAATGACTCAAAAAAACTTTTCCTTGTGTACCCTCCTCACGGGATTCTTAAGGTTCGGGTTTGGTTCAACCTAAGTTCGGGCTCTATGTTCACTATATGCCGGGTTAGGTTCTAAAGTAATAGGTTCTCGAATTGTCCTTGCCGGTGCCCCATTGGGCTGCCGAACCCTCAATCCTGGCCCATCACAGGCTTTAGGGGATCGAGTTCAATTTCGAGGGAACACACCTCCTTATGTCCATGCGGAGGTGATTACCATCACGAGGACCATAAGGCGTGAGCTCCAGGAGCGATCCACTATCCCATGCGGAGGTGAAAACCACACGAGGGCATAGTCTCTCACTCCTACTTAAATAGGACGGAGCGGGGTTTTAGCTCATGTTATGACAATGCAGCTGTGCAGTGTGTGAGGAAAAGCGAAAAAAAAACAACCAATAAAAACACTCAAAATTTCCTAAATTCACACAATTAATCTGAAATCATTAACAAACAGATCAGTACAACTATTTAATTGTCAATCAAATTAAATTAAAGAAATCAAAATACAAACAAAACTTATTAAAAACCAAACAAGGGATCAAAAATCAAATTAAAACGAATTTGTAATTTTCAATTGCAAAGACAATTAATTAATCGACTATCGGCTTGACTCTCTAAAAAAAGTCCCCAGCAGAGTCGCCAAGCTGTTGAAACGATTTTTTCTTAATGGTGAAAATGTGAGAAAGTGAGATTTTAAAAAAACACATTAATTCTTAATTATCTCTTTTAAATTTAAAAACAAATGTGATTTAAAAGACCTCTCGTTTCGAAAATTTTTAGATTTCCTTTACGATCGAAAAATACAGTTCAAGGAGTCGCCACCAATCTTTGATTAGGGTGTGATTGGGCACACAAAAATGCTTTGTCATTTTAAATAAAAATTAATTTTAATTAAAACAACAAATTGAGGTCTGCGTTACCAAAATCTGAGTTCGGGAGTCGGTTACGTGTGGGGAAGGATTAGCACCCCCACAATGCCCTAAATCGGTACCTAGTCGATTAATTAACGTTTTTGCAATGAACTTTACAAATTCGAACTTAATTTAATTTTTGATCCCATAAAACAATGACGTAAATTTAAAAACATTCAAAAACACTCAAAATAATTAAATTTAAATTACCAAGTCATTTTAGAAAGATAAAGGATGTTCGATTATTTACAAATATCGAGACCAGATCTTAAATATATAACAACCTTTTCTCGATATATTTAAATAAACGAACATTTCTTTTTCTTTCGTTCCCAAATTTTAGGTGATGAATCAAATTTTTGGTTTCACTTTCGGGATACACTTTTATTTTAAAATCATTAAAAACGGACCTCAAATCAGTTATGACTGCCCACTTCAATAATTTTAAATTAAAAGGGTATTACCCTTAATCCAATTATGTGATATATGTCAAGTTATGCAAATGAGGTTATCATGCATATTATGCAAAATAATGTCATGCAAAAACTAATTAAAATATGCCATGCACTCAAACAAATTTCTAAAAAAAACTAAAAAAAAATAAAATAAAATAAAATAAAATAAAAAAAATATGTATTTACGACATTAACATACATTAGAATAAAACCATATATACAATAAGACATACTATTAATAACTCGACTTCACATTCAAAATTACCATGAAGGACCAAAATAAAATTAAACTAAGCATGCAAAGTAGGAATTAACTATTAAATTAAAAAACATGCTAAGTGACTAAATTGTCAAACAACCAAAATTGCAAATTACAATTCAAAAATAAAACATAAAAACATTTCAGGACTAACATGAAAAGTGTTCATAAATATGAAGACTAAATTAAGAAGGCACAAAAGATTCGTTCAAGGACCAAAATGAAAGTTCTGTAAATTACACAACCAATGTAAAAACAATGCAAAAATGGCCCTAATATGCAACTGGACTAAAATGAGACACGCTGAAAGTTAGGAGACTAGATTAGCATTCCAAAAAGAAAAAAAACCTCGAATTGGGGACCACAACAGAACAGGTTGAAGCTACAAGGGTCTAATCAGCTATTATACCTAAAACACGGATTCCCCTTTGCCCACTAAACGCTGCCGTTTCACTAATCCTAATATATGATTTTTTAGGTGATGAGTTACCCTAATTTCACTTCCCTTATCCCTTCAGCCGCTCTCCCCTCTTTCAAGCCTTCATCATCTCTCGACTGTTCCTTCAACCTCACGAACGGAGCTGCCCAACATCAACCAAGCACAACACCGACCACCTCACCAGAAGAAGACCACCGGAGATCTAAACCACTGAAGACTGCAGACCCAACCCTACTATTTTCTCCTTCCAGTAACCCCAGGAGACCTCGACTACGCTGATGAAAGTGAGATAAGAAACTACGCGATGCAAGTAACCTCAAACGACCCTCTTATCCTCTATTTACTAACGACAACAACATCTGAATCATCTCTAATCGTCAACTAGACCACCTAATCAAACAGGTAATGTAGATCTTTTCTCTATACCTATTTAATTTTATTTAGTTCGAACATGCTTTAAATAATAATGAAAAAAAAATCATTACTGAAATAATGAAAATGGTTGAATACCTCTTGAAGCTTAGTTACTTGCGTGATCTGCCTGTTTTGTTCTTTAAACACGAAGGGAGAAATACCCTTGGTTTATATGGTTCAATTAATTGCTTTTCGACAAAAATAGTCGATGGTTTCTCGTTCTTCTGGTGAATTCCTAATCCTCTCTTGTTCTTTTTCGTTTCTGTCCCTAGTTCCTCTGGTCTCTCCCTATGATCCTCCCTTCTCTTTTTTTTCCTAATGCTCTCTAACTCTCTTTGTCTGTGTAATCTCTCTGCTCTCTTTTCTTCTCCCCTTCTTCTGTGTTTTTCCTTGGTTTTTATTTTCACTGTCCCCCCTTTTCTTTTTGATTGTGTTGCCTTCTTTATTCCAATGGCAGTTAATTCCAATAAAACTGACCCTCCACGTTTTTTTTGGTTTTCAACTCCCAAAAACTACTTTCATTTGCCCATGATATAGGCCCAGACAAATTAAGCATCTACAAAGGTCAGGAGTTCGAATCCTGACGTTTACCGTGCAACTTGGGTTGGGAGGTTTCCTTTACCTCAGCAGTACTTAGAAGCAATATACATGTCTGCATGAATTTTGTTATCTATTTACAAATTTAAATAAAATTTAAAATATATGTATTTTAAGTTAATATATAATATATGTATTTTACGTAAATCGTTTCATTGAATTTCGTACCATTTGTTCCAATTGCCGCCACGTAATATTTTTAATAATTTATTATTTTATTAAATTTATTTTTTAAATGAATCAGAACCAAACCCTATTTAACGATTCCGAAAGGCAGGAAGATTAACGAACTCGTTTATCTCACGAAATCTTGGTTTAGCCAAGAGAAATCGCAGATTTCATTGAGAGGAAGAGGAAGCAAAAACAAGGATTGTGAAATGGAGGAAGCGAAGTCAATGACTCAGCAGCAGCGGCAATTTCTCTTCCAGAAACAGAAACAGCAACAGCAACAGCAGCAAATGCTTCTCTTACAACAGCTTCAGAAACAGGCCCAGCATCAACAACAGCAGCAGGCGATTTCTCGGTTCCCTTCCAACATTGATGCCCATTTACGTACGACTCCCGGTGTTCTTCCCAATCGTCCTATTAACATCCATCAAAACCCTAATTCTGCCCCCAACCCTAACCCTAATCCCCCTCCTAGTTCACAACAACCACCGCAGCAGCCTCCACAATCACAGCCTCAGCAGCAGCAGCAGCAACAACAGCCGCTGCAGCAGCAGAAGCAAATCCGACCTTTGAACCAAGCGGAACTCCAGATGGCTTATCAGGATGCTTTGCGTGTTTGTCACCCTGATTTCAAACGACCTTTTTCTTCCCTTGAAGATGCATGTGAGAGGTTTGTCTGGAAATTCTCTCTTAACTTTTGAGGAAATGAAATTCTGGGTTTGTTGCCGATTCTTTTGCTTCCTTATGTTCTGGTTGGTATGGAAATGGGAAAAAAATGATTATTGTTTGGAATGGGAAAAAATAGATTTTTGTTGCTTCGTTAGTTTGTTGTTAGGTATAGTTGAAAAGCCCGGCGCTTAAAATAATGGACGAACATATGTGAGTTTTGAATAATGTGATCTGTTTACTATATTATTGAAATTTCGCTTGCATTTGTAGTATTTGTAAAAATAATCTATAGGGGCTTATTTATGCTATTTTCTAGTTGAAGTTTGTATTGTATTCCGAGTGGTGTGTGAATTTGGGCAGTTCTATAGTGTAATCATTGTATATTGTTATTTCTGCTAGAGAAATTAGGGTTTGAATGCCATTACTTTTCAGTGGTAGCAGAATTATAAGGCCATCAATAAAGATTTAGGAACAAGATATGTTGGATGTTGGGGTGCTTTCTCACATGATGAAATATGATTGTAAATGAGATTTTCAGAAACTATGCGGCAGATAATGTTGGTTTGTTTCATGTAGTCACTTTTTTAAACCTAATTCGTCTGAGGTTGATGGCATATATGTAGAAGAGTATAATATTTTGCATGTATGCATTAATTTATTGAAATTTATATGCATAAGATGGAAAAATTGTTGATGCATTGTGACACATGGCAAATTGTTGGCAAGAATTGTGGGATTTATCTACATGTGTATGACAAGTACTTGGTAAATTAACTTTTTTATGGTTTCCTAGAAAATAGGAGACAGAATCAGTTAGAACCTTATTCTAGATGTTTATGTTTGGAGATATCTTCCGTTTTAGAAATCCGTTCCATTATGGTTTCTGCTTGGTTTGCTTTATCATCTATCTCATGGGAAGAAGTGAAACAAATAAATAAATGAAAACCAGTACCATTCAAAGTTACTTGAAATTATATTCTTAAAACTGCATCTTCCTGATTGCATTGAGCTCAGCTGCATCTATTAGTTGTGTCAGTTAATGGAAATAGTCTTTGTTTTAGTTTATTGATATAGGGGAGGGGGTATGAACTGAAGACAATAGCTATTGTTTAATCGCATGTGAGGACAGGATTACAGTACAATTGTATGACACACTGACCTGTTATTTAACTCCAACCTTTGGAAGGCATTGGTTCTATGCTTTTAACTATCTCTGTTTCGAGTATTCCTTTTTCATTTCATAAGGTATATGGCCAAGATTCAGGGTATTTTACGAACCGTATTTGGAAGAAAAGGAACATAGTTAAGGATAAGAAGGCAAGATTTATTTGCTTCTCACATGAATCACTTCATCCTATGGAAGATAATAGACCTGGCAGTGTAGTTTGTTGTCATTGTCATGTTTAAGGTCTTTTTTATCTGTATAAATTGAGATTTTAGTAATTCATGTCAAATAGATCTTGGAATATTTGTGTCATTTATTGCCAGGTCTTGATAAAGTAGTGGTAATTTGAGCTCTCTCTCTTGGTACTTGAAGAATTTGCATTACAACGGTTGTGATTAAATAGTTTCTTGCTTAATGTTTTTCAAAGTGTATTTCATGAAAATGTGCAGGTTACTACCTTACCATGTTGTAGCAGATTATGAGGCAGAGGAGGATGACAGAATTCTTGATTCTGACCCAACTGGCCCATCTCGTTCCCAGCAGTGGGATCACAACATTGCTGCCAAAGTTGCAGAGTTCACAGCCACATTCGAGAAACAGGCACTTGCCTTCAACATAATATCTCGCAAACGAACCGCGGGGGAATTCCGATCCGAGGAAAGGTTGATGGTTGAGCAGGCTCTTCTGCAGGAAGAGAAGAGAGCCATGCTCGAGTTGAGATCAGAAATAGAATCTAGGGAGAAGGCTGGTCGGGAGGCTAAGATGCGAATGGCAGCAATGGTGCAGGCAGAGCAAGCTCGAGCAGAATCCCAAGCCCCTGCTGACATATTGGCCCGAGGCCCTATAAGGGCAAATGCTGTCGGATCTCAGGGAGGCAACCTTCCAATGAGTCATGACATTGGGGAGCAGTCACAGGGTGTAGGCCCTGATGAGATGATGAATGGATGGGGGAACAATGCACAGAGGGACGAAAAGGAGCCATCTGAAGATTTCTTAAATGACGAAGAGACCGACAACGGAGAGCAGAATGAATGGCGTGAAGTTGGGGAGTTTGATTTGAACAGTAGATGAGTCGTGAATGGTGGTCATTGTTGGCATTTTGATGTCTGCGTTTCCGTCCTTGTTTTTCCGTTTATAACATTTTCTTCACCTTGTGTTAGATTGTATTTATGTTGTCTTAGACAAGCGAAAGCAAGTAATTCAGTTGCTGTGATGAGCCGCTTGAGGCTTCCAATTATCCTTTTAAACCATCTTTGTAAGTAAATGAACCTATATCATTATTAGTTTTTTTCAATGAAATTGTCTTGTCCTTTTTAAAAAGCGAAGATAATGTTTCTCTATTTTTCAACATGTTATATTATACTTAAGTTGATGGTGCTTATTATTTATCATCAATTATAGTATTTAATTGTATTTGAAAAAGCGCATTTGATTAGTTGGTGAAGTTCATTTTCGTTTTCTCATACTCCCTTAGGTCATATTATAAATCCACTAGGAGCACTTTCCTTTTCTCTCCTTAGGATTAGATTTAAAATTTATAATATATATATATATATATTTACTTTTTAGTTTTTAGTTGTTGGAAATGAAGCTTTTAAATTACTTTTTATAATTTTTTAATGGTTAATATATTTTCATTGTTGGTCTTAAGAAAAATGATGAATCAATAAAATAAATATACGTTATTTTAATTGTTTTAGAATATAATTTTATTATTTATGTATTTAGTAAAACTATCTGCAATTGTTTTTCTATCACAAGATGTACTCGACTTGATTTCTAGCTTGTATAGGAAATAAGGCAGTCGCTTAAGCAACAGAAAGGTAAATTACCAAACCAATATAATGGTGCCTACTGCTTCGCTTTTCCTCTTTCTTTCTCTCCCATACATACATATGCACAAAGCAAAGGAACATATCAACCAACATCCAACTTAAATCCAACACAAGAAAGGAGAAAAAAAAGGAGAGACATTTCTTTAACCTCAAATCGAATAGAGAAACAGGGAAAAACAAGCAAGAATGCACAAAATCTTGAACATATCTACAAAATGTTGGGAAGCTGAGAATCCAATCTCTGCTGCAACTCCATCATCTTCATGGAAAGCTCCATTTTCTGCTCCTTGTAACTCTGCAACAAAAATTCTTTTCCATCTATTACCTCTTTTAACTCTCCTACTTCTCTCTTCAGCATCTCGATTCTCTCCCCATCTCCCCTTCCCTTCTCAGGGGAGCCCGAGTTGCTTTCCACATCAAGATACCCATTGGCATGGCCATTTCTTATGTCAGACGGCCAAGCTGTATCAGTTGATGTTTTCTTATTCATGCCAACATTTCCTACACAGTGATCTGCAATTGCCTTCCTCAGCCTTTGGATTTCTCTCTCGGAGTCGAACAAGTCTCTATTTGCTGCATCCAGCTGCGATTGTAAGTCGGTTGAGTGTGCCACCTGAGCATTCACTGAATTTTGCAGCTCCATGATCTGATCCTGCATCTCCAAAATCATATCATCTCTTCTTTTCAACTGTTGCCTTAGTTTCTGTATCACTTCCCGCTTGCTAAATATGTCGGAGCCTGATTCAGAGACACATGGTGAGTCAGAGCAGTTAGAATGATGGAATGGCTTCGGAGGTAATTCAAGACGATCCGGGGATGATGCCCACATAACACCATTATCCTTGTTGAACTCAGACGTGGGAACTGTCACCAGAGGGAGAACAACTTCAGATTCTGGTAACATCTGACCATTGGGTGGGTGCTTCTCACCCATGTTTTCAGCTCCTGTACATGAATCTATGAAGCATTATCAAAGTAAGAATGGAAGGAAATAGACCTTGCCTCCCAATATGAAGTGGATCATGAGGCAGAGAGAAATACAAATGCCACCCAAAGTTTCAGACTCGAGTTAATCTAAACCCTAAAACTTTCTAAACTACCAGAGTCAGTCACATATTAACATCTCAAGGCTTGAAGTGGGTACGACAAAAAACTAAGAAAATCAGAAGTTGCTAAGTATTAACACTCAAAGGCAAGGAATTTGATATTAGCATGGGATTCATAAAACGCTCAGTACTCGGTACAAAAGGAAAACGAGACTTTGTTTCTTCTACTTCCAGACAATATGGAACTATTTACACAAAGAAAAGAGATCTCGAGAAAGAAACCAAACTAGAGGATTCATAACAATTCTACTCCACTTTTATCATCCAACTGGAAAGACCAAAACAGAAGCTTTGAAAGGTGAAAAATAAAAAGGTTTTGGACATCTCAAACAGTAACATAGCTGCATCACACCTGACATGCAGTTAAAACAACCATCATCTTCTTCAGTGAAAGAATAAATGTTTGGATGTAAGCGGCAACCCGATGATCTCCTTCTGTCAGAAGCTCCATTCCCTGTAATAAACTCTAAGTTTTTAAACAGTTATCTATTCAATACAAATTATTGGAGCAATAGATATCAATATACCTTTCAAGCTGGCAGTAACATTATCTTGTTGCTTTAAGTCAAGTGCCTGCTTCAGCTTGTAACCAAATCGGACTGACAAGGTACTTAGCAAAGCACCACCAGCAATGAGAATCCAATTTGTCCCCTCAACCTTATTTTTTCTTGAACTCTGACCCCTAGATACCCGACTGTTTCTGGTATTCATTTTAAGAGCAAGTAGGGGTCAGATGGGAAAGCTCTGAATCACCCAAATATGGCCTACAGTCAGAGTGAACAACATGCAATTACTGTTCATGTAAAGCAAAAGTTCAATGAAATAGCATCAAGAGAGCAGTAAGTTCAGCAAAGTCTCACAATAAACAAAAGTGGTCTGAGACTTGAATTTGAACTAAATATAATTTATGTAAAATTCTTCAATTGAACAAATTTTTTAGATCCATTGGACGCCTTTAAATAACGAATCAATTCTCAATCTCCTGACGTCCTACGGACCTTCTAAACACTACAGATTTTGATTTTATTTTTACTTTCTATAGAGGGTTTCCTTAGGAAAAAGTGCCAATGCCCTTGGTAGATAAGCTCACAGGAAATTGAGTCAAAGTCATACATCACATCCAAGATCAAAAACCTTTTGAATAACGAAGACACAAAATTCTCCCCATGCTATGCTTATCTGGATTATTAATTCATGAAAAAAAAGCTTAGAAATCAAACAAATAAAAATCACATTAACATGAACAGAAAAGTACAAACTTTATCATCTTAATCGACAAAAAAATGAGATATCGATCAAAAAAACAAAGGGGGATAATAAATCAAAGAGCGGGCAAAGTCGAACCTCATCCAAGAAAAATTAGGGTTTAATTTGACAGGTTTTCTCAGGAAACTCCGTCAATGGCGTCGTTTTCGAAAGTGCTTGCCTCCCTTACTGTCACTGTACACCCCCCTCTCTCTCTCTCTCTCTCTAGAAATGGCAATTAACAAAGGGTTTTTCAAATGGCGGCTTCTGTTATAGGCTTCGGCTGGTAAATAATTTTCTTTCTTTCTTTTTTTCTCCTTTTTCTTTTAATTAAATAAATTAAATTTTTTAAAATATGTATAAAATCGGGAGAGTTTTACCGCTTCGTAATGCACGCGTGTCGGCCTTTGCCTTCAATTTTCCGTTAAGTTTGTTGGGTTGGATAATGATCTTTTTCTGTTTCCTTTTTAAATCTTAATTTCCCAAAAATTTCGTTCATATATATACTATTTGATTTATTTACCAATATTTTAATTATTTCTATATTTGAATGATTTTAATGATTAAAAAATATTATTTTTTAAGATCTTAGATTCGAACAATCACACTTATAATGTGTATTGTCTATAATTAAAAAATATTATAAATAAATAATATCTTATAATCAATTTATGCTATATAAAAAAAATATTATTCTACGTTCGAATATTTGATTCATTATTTAAAGTGGACGTGGATACTAATCTTGGAATAATGGTTTAAAAGCCCATAATTGCTTTCATTTTTTAAGCCTTAATATCAAAATAAGAGTACAAATTTTATTGTTTTTCTTGAATAGATGCCTAAAGAATTTTTTGATTCATCCCGATGTCTAACGTTAAAAACGTTATCACTTTAGGTTTCCGGATCGTCAACGACGTTAATTTTCCTGTTAAGTGATACTTGTCATAATTTGATAATTTTAAAAATTTTATTTAATATTAAAAAAATTATATATTAAAAAATATAAAAAATTTGAAATGACCCCAAAACTTTGAAAACCTTCATTTCAACCCTTAAAATCACGTCGACCGTCACCCTTTACTGTTGACGAAGCTCCACTCGACCTCACCTCTCGCCGACGACCAAAACCCCTATGAAATTGTGATCGATCGACGGTAAATTGACGTTTTATATCCCGTAAAACCTAGGATGAAAATCGCGATTTCATGCAATTCTGACGGCTAATTGACTACAACAACGGTGGCGTATGAATAGGAGGATGACAAGGAATAGATCGACGGCGGTGGTCGTGGCCGAAAAGGGTAGCGATGACATGTTGAAGTTAGGATTTGGGGACTTTTTTATAATTTAAGAAAAGTTAGTGTTTTGTTATAAATATATAATATTTTTTTAAAAATAAATTTCAAAATACCATATTGTGACATGTGTCACTTAATATAAGGAATTAACGACGTTGACGGTTCGAACACCTAAAATGACAACAATTTTTGTGACATGCCATTTTTATTATTAGTTTATTAGTTTATAATTAAAAGATATCACACCATAGAAAATATTAATAAAATAAGTTAGAATGATTAAAATAGAAGTAATTTAAAAATTAAGTAATTAATTTTTAAAAAAATAAATTTCAATGACCAAAATATGAGTGTAAAGATAATTGAGTGATAAATGATATAATTTACTCATAAAATGCAACATACAATAGTTCCGCAAAAAATTTAACAGTGGCATATTAAATGAAACAAAATGTAAACGTTAGATATGATTTAAAAAAAATGAAAGCTTAGATAATAAAACGAAACGATATTAATAATTTAGATAGTAAACATGTAATTTATTATTATTTTATTAGAATTATGTATACAACAATTTACATTTATTTACAAATGGATATACATAGAACAGTTCTTGTATGTGGAGACTTAATCCCATAACAAGAATCAATTTACTTCGGTTGTTAAAGAAATAGTTGTTGTTCGTAGAAGTCACGGGTTTGAGCACCAACAATGGTAGTAGAGTAATTGAATGTCCATTGTCAAATGATTTAAATATTTAGAACATATACTAATTTATAATCACTAGTTCGTTAAAAGAAACTTAATCCCACTAAATCTAGGTCTCAAGCACTTTCATTTTGAAAATACATGCAGTCTCTGTGTGTCAATTCGATTTACGTCTCTTCGTTTTCACGAAAAAGCGTACTCCAAATACTTCAATTACTAAAATTTATCTATATATACACAAAAATAAAATCAATTTCGCAACTCTAAAATATTATCTCAAATACTTTGATTTCGCTTCAAATGATGAGTTGGATACAAAAGTTATAAATTTACAATGAAAGTTTATAATTAGATTTATAAATTAAACACATAGTTGGGATATTTACCTATAACTGTTAATACGAGAAACTAACTATATAAGATAAAATAATGACTACACAAGAAAAATGTAAAAAAAATATATCCAGAAAAACTCGAATAATAAATAGATGTAAACATATCCGACTATTAGAACAATGAACTATAAGACGAGGTTTAATTATTGAAAGATCACTAACAAACACAAATCAAAACTAAATACGGTGGGGAAACTAGGCAAAATTGATCTAATTGGCATGGGTAAAAAAATTGACTCATCAGACCATTTCTATAATTAATTTGAGATATATGATAAATGCTACAATGCAAGGTAAACTTGTCATGTTCATATGACGGGTTTGCTCCAATAATAATTTTTTATTCAAACTCATCACTTCGATGTGAAAAGTTTCAAAATGTATTTTTTTATTAAATTTTTATCACATCGAAGTAACATGTTCCAATAAAAAATATTTTATTAGAACTCGTCATGCACACATGAACGAGTTTCAAGTTACTGTAACAAATAATGTAATTCCCAAAATAAAAAATATCTTAAGTTTTATCCATTATTTGTTTCTTTATAACTTCTGTCAATTTTATTGATCAATCCAACTTATTCTTCTTACAACATCGGTTTTGATGTTAGTTGTCGCTCGTCGGTTATTTTTTAATAAGAATAATTATATCTTTGTGACATATTATCTGCCTTTATGTCTTTTGGTAGCTTACAATTTTTTGCCTTTTTTTTTCGTTTATCTTTTTTCATAGGGTTTGATTTGACACGACCACGACTGATCAAGATGACGCTTATTTGTTATCCTGTTAATCTTTTCTGCTTTGCACCCTCAGATTGATTTGGATGCGCGTTTTGTGTTCGTTGATAGTTTTCTCACGTCGCTTGACTCATGATGTACCTTATGGAGTTATTAGAAATTATGTGGGTGGGGGGGAGTGAATCTTTGATTTCTCTAAAAGTTTAACAACTTATTTGGTATTCATGGTTGAATTACTGAGCTGCATGTTTGATGCTTTACGACATGCATGGAATTTAGAATGCATGGAAATTATAGTAGAGAGGTTGTTTAGATGTTACTCAACTATTACCCCATTTCCTTTATTTTGGTTTATTTATTTACTTACTATTGTTGAGTATATTTTAGGGGCTTGTGGAATCGAAAACTCCATTAAACTTCCACTACATCCAATGGTTTTTTTATAGGATTGTCAAATGGTTATTAAGTTGTTTATTGGATTGGTTCCTCAACTCAAAAACTGAAAAGATTTGAAGCATAGGGCTATCCGAACTACTCCATCACATATTTCGTTCCATTCTTGATGTCTTAATGTTCTTAAGCCGATTCTTTAAAAGAAAGCTAATTTTTACTTCTTTGGATGGTGTGCTATGTTTAGACATGCTCCAAGCTGCATTTTGCCTGTTACGTCTGTTGATTTCGTCTCTACAGAGATGCTACTTATTTCTACTCTATTTCGCATCCTTTTGCTGTTCACTCTGATGATATATGCAGTGACGGAAATAGGGGTGGAGGAAATGATTTTGCTGCTGGTTTTCTTTTGGGAGGGGCTATATTTGGAACTTTGGCATATGTTTTTGCGCCGCAGGTACTTAGTATTTACTTTCATCTTCACTTAATTTCCTGCACATATTCTGACATATCCAATCAACGATCTTATTTTTCTTTACACCACAAAAGATTCATTTTTTGGCCTAAAATTCTTGACCTTTTTAGCATTTAATTTATGGTGAAATGCTACTTTCAACCTCAAAAGTTGTACCAATAACAATGCTAAACAATGAATCTTGGCTTGTCATAGTAGATGTCATATAAGCTGGCCTGGTGAACGTAAGAGTGTATAGCTGTAGCATGCTCTAATATTTGTCAATCCGAGACTCACGATATTAAGGCGTGGCACTTGGGTTCCAAGTATCGGAAGTGGGTCTAGTAATTTTGGAGATGACATGAATACAACATGATATTCAATGCAAACAAATTTAATTCATTTTTCTGGACTAAGATTTGATACTCAAACATGATACGATTACAGTTTAAGACAATGACATAAACGTAGTCATCATATTCATATGTAGAATTGAAAGGGGGAAAAATAAGGCCCAAACGGGTTGGGACCGTTCACATCTTGGACTGCAGTCGAATGCCCCACCACTAATCTACAGAACCAATAGTTTGAGTATTTATATTTATTAAAAAAAACCGGCCCAAACCGGGTTCGAACCGGTGACAACTTGAACTGCAGTACTGCCACTGAGCTATAGACCCAATTGATTTAGGGTTTAATTTTTTTAGTATATAAAAACTGTTTTTAATTTAAAAGATACACGATAAAGGGCCCGACCAGGTTCGAATCGTTGAACTCTTGATCTGCAGTTAAGTATCCACAACAGGGTTATAAACCCAATTGCTAGAGGGTCTAATTTTTATGTAAAAACTGTTTTTCATTTAAAAGATAGACAAAAAATGGCCCAACCGAGTTCGAACAGTTGAACTCTTGATCTGCAGTACCATCGCTGAGCTATAGACCCAATTGCTTGGGGGTTTAATTTTTTTATATAAAAATTGTTTTTAATTTTTAAAAAATACATAAAAAAGGGCCCAACCGTTTTATTTGGAAGTTCTTACTTTAGGTAGAGGAGGTGGAGCAGTTCTTCCTATCAATAGGAAGGAGAGTGACGTTGAAGTCGCTAAAGAGGATCCAAGGGGATCTGATGGAAGAAGCAAGACTTCTAAGATGAGTCCAAAGATGCTTACGGCTAGCGGGAGAAGGGCAGGCATAAACTGCCGTGGCCAGGAAAGAAGAACCATCCCGAGTAGTAGTGATACGACAGTGAAGAAATTGAAAATGGTGAGCCAGAAACTCCACAGTGATTGCATGAATCATACCAGGCTACTCAGATGCTCCCGGAGAAACCTTTCGCTTCAATTCGATGCGAATTGGGGAAGCCAAGTTTAGAAATAACAGCATCGGCTCTTCCACCACTAACGCGGGGTTCCACAAAGACTACCATTTCAGGTTTATGGTGTCGGAATAATTGTTTAGCCACCAGGAGGAAGCGCAAGTCATCGCAACCCTGGACGTTCCAACTAAGAAATTTAATATCCATAAAAATAAGCAAAACGAGGAGGAAGAGAACAAACACAATTCAAGCAAGTCCACAGCACGATCTCCTCCCAAGCCTTGATTTGTATCTTCAGATAAAGGTTCTGATATAATGCTATGTTCAGCAGAAAAGGAAGACAATGGTTGCTCGGGGTGAGGCTCTTTCTGTTGTTTATCCGGTGGGTCACCATCTTGTTTATCGGTATTTGTTCTTCAGATAAAGGTTACGCCCATTTTGGATCTCCATCGGGTCAGGAGGGTAAGGGTTCACGGTATTTGGGTTTTCGTTCTCGGTTCTCATCTATAACAATGACTGAATGTTTTTCAGGGTTGAGGAAAGTAGCATTCCGGGTTGAGGTGTTCACACGTGAGCTGCTAGCTTTTGCATGGCCACAAGAAAGTGTAGGGAAATCATAGAGCTTCAAGGATAAGGGTTTTCACGATGGTATGGCTTTGGTTTTCTTAGACTGAGTGATCGCTTTACCTTTACATTTAGGCTGAACGATCGGGTTATCTGGGGGTTGAACAGCAGTAAGAGCAGGGTTGGGGTGTTCATTATCAGCATCGGCCTCCAGATCAAAGATCGGATTAAATCTTGAACCCATGGCTACTGGTGTATCTGGACGAGACTTAGTTTCAACTTGTTTTTTATTCGGGCGTCGGGGTCGTCGAGTGGCTATCATCCATGGACCACAAGAAGTGTCTTTGGTTGGTTGATTAACCGCTGGGCGCTGGGGGAGGGGACGAGTCTGATTCAGTCTCGTTGGCAGTGTGAAGGCCCGGACAATGTTCTTGATTGTGGCCGTATTTTCCACAGTTGAAACAAATTGTCGGCAGGGATTCATATTCTACTATCTGAACTCTTCCGTTTACCAAAAGTTTAGATATCAAAGGTTTTGGAGAGATCAATACGAACGGCCATGCGCGCGAAACGTCCTCTCTTGCCCCATTCAGTTTGGTAGTCAAGTTTAATCACCGGACCAATGGATTCACCGATCTCCGTTATTAAACTTTTCTTGTAAAGGGTGACGGGAAGGCCGGGCAAACGAATCCAGACCATTATTTTACTAGGAAAGGGACTCGTCGTTGAGAAACCCGATGTCCATGGTTCCACAGTGAGATAGTGTCCAAATAATGTCCAAGGTCTCTCGGTTAGAGCATGAAGGTAACCAGCGTGGGTGCGGAAAGTCACTAGAAAGTAATCGTTTTCGATATCCATTACCTTGAGAGCTTGTTTCGGCTTCCAAAGTTCGTGAAGTTTGGAACGCAAAATCGTATAACCAATCCGTTGCCCTAAAAGTTTTACCACGACTGTTTGATCCAAGCTTTTTTCTGCCGGGGCTTGAATACGATCTGAGAATTCAATCGATATGATGCCATCAATGATAGTCCGAGTGACATCTCCGTCATGGATTTCAATATCTTCTTCATCGAGAATTTCATCAGACTCTTGAGGGTCCGTTGCTTGATCGTTCATGAGAGTCTTTATACGAGGGAACTGCGCCGCTGTGGGTGTTACTGCTGTCAGGTGGGGCACTATTGCCAAGGGGAGTGGAAGAAAAGAGAATAGCTTGGCCGCCACGATCAAGAGGATCGTCATCAAGCCTACGATGCTTTCTAGGGTTTGGTTATTGAAACACCCATTCAAACGGATACAGATAAAAATTTATTTGACTCAATTCATAAAAACATCTATTACAAAGAATTAAAACATGGTATACACTCAAGCAATTAAATAATAGGAAGAAATAAAACAAAAATAGTATTATCTGTATTAGACCAAGAATTCACAAGATGTTTCTAAATTGAAACAATTGTAAATATACACTTACATTAAATAACATAAATTCCAAAACCCTAATCCTGAACTTCACCATGCAAAAATTATTATTTATGCTTACAAGAAATATACGTCCAACAGACAACAACACGTGGCAATTTCAGTAACTTGGGTGAATCATTACATCATGTACATGTCTAAATCAATCACTTACAGATGTCGAACGTTGGAAAAAACCACACGTCCAAGCCTCCAAGTTGCCAGCCTCAATCCATTATGTCCATAAAAATAAATATGCAGAGCTTTCATCAAACCCAAAAAGATAATAATAATAATAACAATAATAATAAAAAAAAGAAATTAAAATAGAAGAATCCGGTGAAGTTCCTTCAAGACTAAGTATTGAGGAAGTAGGTCAAATAAAGTAGAAGTTTAATTTAAATTATTAATTATATTTTTTAGTTCATTGGCTTAGGTTAAGATAATGATTCGATTCAAGATTTTTAAGCTATAGATAAACACCTTCCCAAACACCACTCACCACTCCAAAGTAACCCACTTTCTTTTCCTAGAAAATTTGCTCTGAAGACAAGCTGGAAGGTGATGGATATTGATGAAGAAACGAGCATTACTGTCAGAGAAATCAAACCAAAGAGCAGAAGAATCATGGTTAGGCCATAAGCCCTTGTTGCGTATATATATATATATATATATATATGTATATATTTGTTGAATACTTTGCATATGAATACTGTTATGGAGAAGATGATGATAAAATGAAGTTGGGGTTGTGATTAAATATAGGGAGGAGGACCAGAAGATGGTTATGAGGAGTGGCCGCCATGGCTGATACCACTGCTTCAAACAAGCTTTTTTGGTCAATGCAAGCTCCACGCCGATGCTCACAAGAGCGAATGCAACATGTATTGCTTGGATTGCATGAATGGCGCTCTCTGTTCTCTTTGCCTGTCTTACCACAAAGACCATCAAGTTATTCAGGTATATATATAAATCTTTTATTTCTTTTATAGTTTGTCTGATGAATATTGGAACCTAAATTTAGGGCCTAAATGAATAGAGCTTGAACAAATAAGGGCGTGTTCGTGTTCGTTCCTTGTTAATGACATTTAACAAGGATTTGAGCAAGTTTTGGTTTGTGTGTTGCAGATAAGGAGATCATCGTACCATGATGTGATAAGGGCATCGGAGATACAGAGACTTATAGACATATCTGGAATTCAGACATACATAATAAACAGTGCTCGGATAGTTTTCTTGAACGAAAGACCACAGCCTAGGCTAGGCAAAGGTGTCACCAACACCTGCCATGTCTGCCACCGCAGCCTCCTCCCTTCCTTCACCTTCTGCTCTCTCGGTTGCAAGGTCATATGATATTATTACAGGACATCAAAATGATTACTACATTTTCTTCTAATTGCTGAACCAAGAATATTATTTTATTTCAGGTTGTTGGGACATCCGGGAGGAGAAATAGAATCTGCAGAGAGGAAGACGAATCAGAGGGTGAGTGGATGAATGCAACAAGTAGCTTCACGCCGTCAACGCCGCCTCCTCTGGCGAGGAGGAGGAAGGGAGTTCCTTATCGAGCTCCGATGGGGGGTCTCATTATACAATACTAATGTATATAGATATTATACGACAATAGTTAAATTATACCAATGTAACAATGTTATTACTGCATAGAAATGGGAAAACACATCAAGAAAAAAATGTATATTAGAAAAGAAAGGGTTAGATAAGAGACGTGCAGGGTTTTTATTGTTTATTTACGAAACTTTCATACTGTATATTGTTGGTTCAAATGTATATATAAACTGATATATTATATTTATAGTAGAAGTTGGAGTAGATTTGATGATACGCATAATAAACAGAGTACATAATGTATGATGATCAAATTAGAATCAATGGTTTGTGTTCTAAACAGATTGTAGTAAATTACATGGCTTGTGTTCTAAACATTTGTTTCTCTTGTTTTTCTTTTTTCTCCTACATTTTCCCACAAAACACAATAAAAATTTATTTTTTTTAAAAAAAGCATTATAAATGGGATTTTTCTTTTCTTTTTCCTCAAGCAAACTAATTAAAACCTGTTGAGTTTGATTCATTGGGTGCAGGATTCAGCTAATTCAATATGGCTAATTCTATTTTTGAAAATTTAAAATTATTAAAGTTCAACCAACTTAATTCAATATGAGAAAGAAAGCTACCCAATGATCAATTGTTTTAAACTCGGATTCAGGTAATTCAGTTGGCTACCCAATGATCAGTATGTTACATAACCACAGAAACCACCCTTTACAGGGAGCACAAAATACACAGCTCGAAACAATGAAGCAGATGTGATTTACCAAAAAGCTGCAATTACAAGACAACCTCAGCTCCATTTAAATGATATGTTCCTGAACAATCAAATGTGATCTCTCCTCTTAGGCGTCTCACCCGATTTTGGGATAACTTTCGTACTCTGATGTCCTCAGCAGCGCTGACGACGTGTTTCTTCTAACCCTGCAATCAAGCTCCAGCAGTCTCCATTTCCCCACACTGAATTAAACAGACATATGTATGAGTGCTCTGAAGAAAATATGAAAACTGAAACCATTTAAAAGCACTCAATAACAGTGGCGAGTGTTCAACCTTTAGAGGGTCCCTCGATCCAGGGTCCATTCATTATATTCAGAATGCTACAAGCCTCACTGTATTCTAGGTTCGGTAGCAATTTTGGGGTAAGAAGGAAACACCTGCCACAATGTTGGAAACAAACTTCACGCCACTATATAATGTATTTCAGAAACAACTTAAATTCAAAAACAAAAAACATGCAAACTCTAAAAACAAGAAACAATTAATATAAGAATCAACAGTAGCTGGTACCATAAAAAGGACAAAGACAATTGGTATGTCAACACTCAACAGCTGCTACTGAACTTTGGACCAGGAAGAGATACAAGCCAAATTAATTGGTTTGGTCCGCTACATTTTTTTTTGATAGGAATAGGAGGTCTCATTAAAAAACCTCCCTCATAGTTGCCTCTTGAGAAGAGACAACTAGCGGAAGGAGGAAAAGAGTACCTCAATATATTAATAAACCAGAATTACATACGACTATAATTTACATCACCCGAAATAAAATACCAAACATAACCACTAACACTAAGGACATTCAACCTATCCCCTCCTTAGCTAACTTGTCCACTACATCAATCCTCTTCTTTTTAGTTAATGCCAACTTTTATATTTTTCATTTCTTTTTCTTTTATAAATAGGAGAATCAACTTATCACTGGCCATATCATCTGTTCTGTGCATTTTATTCCCAGTCTATCCTATTATCTTCATTTTTGTTATATATACAGATCAGATACTTTATAGACACCACATGCTGATGAGTACATTTGTATCAGGAAACTTTTCAATGATAACTGAACTTATAACACAGCTTTTTAAAGATTAGCCAAATCAAGGTCAATCAACTAGGAGTTACAAAAAGAAAAAACATTTCCTGGAAAATGTTTGTTCTTACTGTGGGGTGTTTGGCTGGCTGGCCGCCCTTACTAATTGCTGAAACATCTTCCTTTCATTGATGGGGTCCATTCCTGGGTGAGGAAAGAAGAAAGACTCGAGAAATATCAACCACAAGGATTTTGATGCAGCAGGTATCCGTAACATGGTGTGTAGAAGTTGATTCGGGCTTACCTTGATTAATCTCGTCAACCACTCTAAAGGGGCAATTAGTGAGATCTTGAAGAGAAACAAGATAAAGAATAGTTGAAACTGAACGTTCCTACAAAGAAGAAATTCAAAAATTGAAGCAAAAATAAAATGCTTTTCCAAATTGATTCATGATTAAGAATTTGATTGAAATACCCCTCCAGATTGATGGTGAGCACTGAGAACTTGAAGTTGACCTGATTGCCTGATGCACAACACGAAAAAGAGAAAAAAAGGATTCAACAGAATTAATCACTCAGAAACATAAATCACATAAGCAATTCTACATGTCGAAAAAGCAGTCTGAATCATTGTATATTATATAACATAGTGTAGTGAAATGAAACAAAGGGCATATATCACACACTAGAAAAATAAATAAAAAATAGGAATACTTATCTAACCTGTTACAAATCATTAAGATATATATATACATAAACCGGTCTAAATAATTAGGTGTTTGACAAAGTTATACTCCTAAATGGGCACAGTTTATGGATGGACAAACATAATACTAGAGTTAGTCTGTTTACATTTATTCCTGTCCAACTGCCAAAAAGAAGTGATTAATAGTGTATGAAATAACTTTAATAGGATAACATGACACAGGAGTTGCATTATTTGATAGGCAATGAAAAACTTAAGGAATTATCCAGTCAGAAAACCATGTAGATTTCAAAAGCAATAGTGACCTTTATCAGAAGTGTTTATTGGTGAATGGATTCCTCAGCAGGAAAAGGAAAAAGCCAACATTTACCATTCAAAACACTAAATCTCATGACATTAATGTTCAAATATTAACTTTAAGCCAATATTTGATTCAGTTATTTTAACCCCAGGCATCATAAAGCTTTAAGAACATGAATAGCTAACTGTATCATCAATTAATATAATGATATTTATTGACTGCATACAATCTGTTAATACTGCAAAGATTATCCATTAAGCAATAACCATTTATGTTGAAAAGTCTTTTGTAAATTGTAATTGATCCCAAATATTAATAATATCTCACATGTCACTCCAAAACTGAAAATAGGCAAATCGCATATTTTATTTTTAAATAACGCAAAAACCTGACCCCAGACT